TACTTCCTGCCCTAGTTTCTCACGACCTGGATGGCTTTGTTATAGGTACAAACACTTGTCCTCCCATCTTTGTAATGGAAAAAGTTGAAGGAATTGAACAATTATGTAAAAAATCAAACCCTAAGGGGGCGTTTGGTTGGCGGTAATGTCAGATTATTGGGGTAATGTCATCTAATATTACTTGATTACCACGTTTGGTTGTCAAGTAATATAAGATTCCGGTAATCTTCAAATACTAATAGTAACTACTATTGGTAATATTGGAGGTAATCTGATTACCTACATTTTCTTAGGTATTCTGAGATTACCAGGGTTATCCTTTTTTGTTACAATTTTATCCCTTATTAATGAAAATTTTGGACAATAATGCCCTCATTTTAAAATAAATTTACATTAATATCCTATTTCAATTTTACCCTTATTTAACTAAAATTTTGGACAATAATGTCCTTGAATTTAAAACAATTTACAAACCATTGCCACTCAGCCACCACCACCACTGCCACTCAGCCACCACCACCACCACCACTGCCACCCAACCACCACCGCCTACAGTGGCCAACCACCACGGACCGCCTCGGAAAACTCGTCGGAGTCCCTAAAAAAGAACGAGTTTCAGTGGGAGGCTCCGGGAGTCATCGCTATGGCCGTTTTTGGCCATCAATATGGCCAAAAACAGCCATATCGAAGCCTCTTGGTCACGGTGAGTTGCTGATGGGGACTTTCGGAGACTTCCGGTGGTGGTCTACGGTGGCGGCAGGCGGCGACAGGAGGCGAGGGTGATTTCGTAATAAATTAAAGTTTTATATAAGCAGGGGTGTTTTAACTAAATCTGAAATATTGGGGGTTAAAAGAGATTATTCAAAAATTAATAATAAAAATAATATTATATTAATATTTGTAAAAGGGACAATTTAGTAATTTAAATAACATACCCACCAATTTATTCCCCATAACCAACCATATTAATATAACATACCCATCAACTAACCAAACACATTTTCTTAAAGATTCCCAGTAATCTTTCAAGGTAATATATCTTTCCAGTAATCTAACATTCCCAGTAATCTAACATTCCTGAACCAAACGCCCCCTAAGTACTTTAGCTGGAAGAAAACTGATTAGTTTATTGTTAGTTAGTTGAATTCATAGATTTCAGAGTCCATGTTTAGATTTTTTTCGAAGTGTAGCAATTCGTATGAAATTTGGAATACGCTAGAACTCTATTTTCAATATTTCTCTAAGGCTAGAACACTACACTTGCGTAACATGTTACAAACGATGAAAAAGGATTCTCAAAGTGTGAATGAATATGTGTTGTGTTGCGTATGAAAGAATTGGGGGACGGACTTAATGCAAGTGGTGTTCATATTAGCGATGAAGAGTTATTGCTTTATATTTTAGATGGCTTAGGTGTTGAATATGATACGGTTGTTGCCAATCTTGTGTCAAATAGTAGTAATGTCACATTTTGAGAAGCTCAGTTCTTACTTCATAAGCATGAGATGCAACTGGAAAAACAACACAATGCTTTACTAAAGTTTCATGAAATGTCTTCTGCATTATTAGCATCTAAGACACAGCAAGTTGTGAATACTTCTGGAGTAATGGTTAATCAGCCTTCAAACACATTAAGTCTAACTATGAATATCTGTCAAGATCCTGGTTTGGTATCTCAACAATCACAACAAGCTCATAATGTTAACTTTGGTAATGTTGGTTATCTACAACTTCCACATGAACACTCAATGCTTGGACAAATTGGCAACTTCAGGCCAAGTTTTAATAGAGGATCGTATAACTATCATCTCCAAGGTCTAGGATAAGGCAAAGGATATGGTAAACCGAGGCTGATGTGCCAAGTTTGTGGGAAACCAGGCCATTCAACCTTGCATTGTTACCATAGATTTGATCAAGACTACCAAGGTTTTGTAGTAGCACCCTCCAATAACTCGGTATAGCCTCTGTCATATCCAGTTATTCCAACTGGTTCTGGCTCATCCTCATTTCCAACAAACTCTATTGATCCTACTCAAGCACAAGCACAAGTATTGTTTGTTGGAACAAATATACCTACTTGAGCATTTAATACTTATATGACTGGCTTTCATGATTTTTCTACTCTTAGAGGATCTCGTTTGCACCAGATTACGTCTGGTCCTCTTTACGAACCACAAAACATTGTTTGCAATCAATTCATTGGACCTCCTAGTTTCAATCAGTTTGCTTCTGGTTCAGTTTATGGCTCACAAGGACATCCTCATTATCAACAACATAGCTCTGGTGTTCCTTTCCAAAATGTACACTCAATTCAGACTAATAATGCACAACAGAATTATGCCAACTTACCTGCTGCTTCAGATACTATCCTGTCCTCGGGTGTTTCCAACACAGATATTGCAACTTCTCAAACTATCAAAGATCAGTCTTGGTACATGGACTCATGAGCTTCTAATCATATGGTAGTAGATTCCTCCAACATGCTAGCACAATCACAATCACAATCACAATATCCTAAAGGCCTCAAGTGGAAGTAGGTAATGGTGAGACACTACCAATTGCACACACAAGTATGATGCTCTACCTTCTTTTGATTCCAGTAGACTTGTTTAGCTTAGGAACATCTTATTTGTCCCTAAAATTGTAAAAAATCTCTTAAGTATTTCACAAATCACAAGAGATAACAATGTGCTAGTGGAGTTATATGCTGACCATTGTTTGGTAAAGGATAGAAACAATAAAGTTGCCCTACTTCAAGGCACAATAAAGAATGGATTGTACCAATTGGATTTTCTAATCAACAATGCTCACTTGGTTTCTAAAGAGAATCTCAATACTGCTGCAACTTCAAATTCTGCTTCTTTATCATAAACAGCTGCTGGTGCTTTCTCGGATGGTTTTAGGTGTTTTACTTCTCAAGTTTCCAATAAGACTTTAGCTTGTAATAATTCTGATGCTATTTCTTTTCTTTGGCATACTAGACTAGGGCATCCAAATGCCAAGTCTCTACAAGTTGTACTAAATAAGATGCATGTAAAGCCTTCTTTGGATATCAGTAAAGGGTTTTTCTGTGAAGCTTGTGTATTTGAAAAATTAACTCAATGTAGTTTTCCATCCTCCACATCTCGAACACATGCTCCACTAGAATTAGTACATTCTGACTTGTGGGGACTTGCCCCTGTGGTTTCCAGTGAAGGGTATAGATATTACATAGTTTTCATGGGTGATTATAGTCGATATGTGTGGGTCTATCCTCTCAAACTCAAATCTGAAACTTATGAAGTGTTTATTCAGTTTCATGTCTTCATAGAAAATAAGTTGAATGTCAAAATTAAATGTATGCAAACTGACTTGGGTGGTGAGTTTAGACCTTTTGCGAAATATCTTCAACAACATAGGATTATGTTTAGACATCCCTACCCTCATCCATCATCATTAGAATGGGAAAATAGAGAGAAAACATAGATCCATAACTAAACTTGGTCTCTCCTTATTAGCTCATGCCTCCATGCCACTTAAGTTTTGGTGGTAGGCTTTTTCAATTGGTGTTTATCTCTTAAACAGGCTGCCCTCTTTGGTTCTAGAGTTTTTGTCTCCTTATCAGTTTTTTGTTCAAGCAAGAACCTTCATATCAAGAGTTGAGAATCTTTAGCTGTAGTTGTTTCCCTTTCCAACGGCCTTACCACAAACATAAGCTTTCCTTTCATACAGAAAGATGTGTTTTTGTGGGATATAGTTTGGTCCATAAGGGATATAAATGCATGAAAAGTGTTGGCCATATATATATAGTCAAGAAAGTCAAATTTAATGAACAAGAGTTCCCTTTTCGCACTGGTTTCTTTAACTTAGATAATTTTACTTCACCATTGAGCTCTGATACTTATACATCTTCAGGAATCTCATCTTGGACTATATCTTCTCGCTGGGATAATGATACTTCTCAAACCATGCGTTCTTTTAATACAGCCAATGCCTCTATTGGTTATGATCCTCATATCACTTATTTTCCTAATGGACCAACATCCCCTACTCACGCATGTTCATCCAAATCACCAGTAGTTGTAGTTTCTCCTTCTGCATAGTCAAAAAAGAATGAACTACCTACAGCAATGGTTTCCTCTACTGCTCTAGTTGAGACTGGTCTTTCTCTTATAGCAGTAGTTTCTGATCTGCCATTTGCACGGCAGCAATCAAAAGCTACTGCCTCTACATTTATGCATGCAACAAAAGTACAAGACTTAGTAGTTTGATCTAGATCTTCCTCTGCCACATATCCAAGCTCATCAGGACACTCAGCCTCCTCGGGTATTCATCTGGAAGTTGTTTTACCTCTGGCAGCTCCACACACTTCTGCACCTACTAAAAATGTACATCCCATGATTACTAGGTCGAAATCCTCACAATTTAAACGTTCAGCTCAAGCTTTCTTATCTACCAAAGTCATTCTTAAGAAACCTAAAACTGTCAAAAAGGCCTTAGTAGTTCCTGAATGGAAAGCAACTATGGACAGTGAATATAATGCTTTGTTGAACAACAAAACTTGGGAGATGGTATGCATATCGTGGGATGTAAATGGGTGTTTAAAACAAAACTTAATTCAGATGGATCATTACAAAAATATAAAGCCCGATTGGTGGCTAAGGGATTTCAACAGACCCCTAGTCTAGATTACTTTGATACATTCTCTCCGGGGGTAAAGGCAGCAACTATATGCATAATGTTCTCTCTTGCAGTTCATAGCAATTGGGAAATTCATCAACTTGATGTGAACAATGTGTTTCTCAATGGGGAGCTCACGGAGCAAGTATTCATGATGCTGCCAAAAAGTTTTTCTTCTCTCAATTAGCCTCAACAGGTTTGAACTCAAGAAGACATTATATGGTCTCAAACAAGCCCTTAGGGCCAAGTTTGATAAACTGAAAAATGCACTTTTGACTTGCGGTTTTTACAATAGCACTTCGGATACTAGTTTGTTCTATTATAAAAATGCATCTACAGTAATGTATTTTTTGGTGTATGTAGATGATATTTTGGTTACAGGGAATGACAATGACCTCATTACAAAGGTAGTTCAAGACCTTAACAGCCAGTTTGCTCTGAAGATCATGGGTCTCATGCATTACTTCCTCGGCTTTGAAGTTAAGAGGAATGGTTCTAGTCTTCTTCTAACTCAAACCAAATTTGCTCAAGAACTTCTTGAAAAAGCTAGAATGGAGGATTGTAATCCTTGCCTTACCCCTATGGCAGTTGGTACGAAACTTAACAAGGATGATAGGGAGTTATTTGAGCAGCCTACTTTGTATAGAAGTATTATAGGAGGGTTGCAGTATCTAACCTTATCCAGACCTGACCTAGCCTTCACAATCAACAAGCTAAGTCAGCTTTTGCAAAGTCCAACCTTAGCTCATTGGACAGCATGCAAACATGTACTACAGTATGTGAAAGGAACACTTCATCATGGATTGATTTTTAAACGAAACTCACACTTTCGTCTTGAAGCATATGCTGACACAAATTGGGCAAGTGATATCAACGATAGAAGATCTACGAGTGGATATGCTATATTTCTTGGTGACAATCTAGTTCAATGTAGTTCCAAGAAGCAGAAAGTTGTCTCTCTATCCTCCACTGAATATAGAGCATTAAGTTAGGCAGCCACTGAAGTAGTTTGGGTTCAGCGCTTGTTTAAAGAGTTGGGGATTGAAATTAAGCATACTCCCGTAGTTTGGTATGACAATATGAGTGCAGGGGTACTATCCTCTAACCCTGTATTCCATGCTCAAACTAAACATATAAAGACAAATGTCCACTATGTGAGAGAGCTTGTTGCGGGAAAGAGTCTAACTGTTCAGTATGTAGCTTCAAAATATTAGAAAACTGACATTTTGACCAAATCACTCTCTAGTCATAGATTCAGCTTACTACGAGAAAAGTTGAATGTTGTGTCTGAATTACCTGAATGAATATAGCTGCTGAAACCACCTGACTTGCATTGTAATATAGCTGCTGGAATGCTATTGTGCATTGTAGTATAGCTGCTGGATGTAGCTATGGTTAAAATGCAGTAGGCAAGATACAAGCCACTTGACTTGCGTTGTAATATAGTTGTTGGAATGCTGTTGTGCGTTGTAGTATAGCTGCTGGATGTAGCTATGGTTAAAATGCAGTAGGCAAGATACAAGCCACTTGACTTGCGTTGTAATATAGTTGTTGGAATGCTGTTGTGCGTTGTAGTATGCTGCTGGAATGCAGCTATGGTTAAAATGCAGTAGATAAGATACAATACAACAACTAATGTGACAAAATTGCAGCAGTTAAGGGAAGATATTGAGATATTGAGATACAAAAGAAGAAGGTAGTTCAATTTATGGGAAGATATTGAGATACAGAAGAAGAAGGTAGTCCAATTTACAAGAAGATATTGAGATATAGGGTTAGTTTTGTAAAAGCACTAAGCTGAAGTATTAAAACAACAATGTTTTGGTTTATTCAAAAATGTATAAATGTGTTATACTAACTGATTTTGTTAGTTAATGAAAATCCAAATTTCTTCACACACTCTCTTCACTGATTCTTCTTCTCTTTAGCTTAACTTAATTTCTTTTTTGTAGCTAGAAATTGTTCAGGGAAAAATTGTCATTTCAAATGCTTAAAGGAGGGATATTTATTCCTTGAAACCTTAGGGGGGAACTTGTATTAATCTCTAAAAATATTGGAAGTATGAACAAAATAACAAGCATTAAAAGTTTCGTTTTACTATATTTATAATTAATTCTTAATGTATGTTTCTCTTACTAAAAAAAAAAATCTTAATATATTTAGATGTAAAATATTAAATAATATTTTTTTTATTATGAGAAAGTCCCTATTAAAACTTTTGTCTAATATCTCGATTTTCATTGCGACGACACTCTATGCTAAGCATGTAACTTTAAAATGTTAAATATTCCTCCTCACAATTCAAAAATTTCTTATAATTAAAAGATTTTTATCTGTAAGCAAAGTAAATACTTTATAACGTATAATTGAGCATTTTTCTGCTCCCATAAAATGGAAAATCTTTATCAAAAATTGCTTCAAAGTGATTGTGCATAAAATCCAATCAACACATTAACTGTAGAAATTTTCTGCACACATTGAAGAGGGAATTAAGAAAATCTCCTTTAAGAATACCATTTTTTTTTTCTTTCAATCTTTCGAAATTAGTAAAGTGAAAATATGGATTTTACCATTTTGTTGGTATTACTATTGTTCGACTTATTCTTTTCAGACCACCTAAAATTTTCCTTGCCAATTTCCCTATTATTATAATATAGGGCTATTGTTTGTTTCAAACCCCCATGGATTTAGGAAATATCTATCATGTTATTACCTCTGTTAATTTTGACTGTTTGAGTTAATTGTCAAAGGGAGGTAAGTGCTAATTTTTTTCAAATATAAGGGAGGTTACTATTTTTTATGAATTTGGATATAAAATTTAAATATTTTTTTATTAAGTATGAACAGGCCCAAATTATATTTCACCTAATACCTCAAACTTTCATTTAAACAACTTTACATGTCTTGTATGCAACTTTAAAATGTCAAATATTCCTCCTCAAAATTTAATATTTCTAAAAATTGACAGATTTTTATCTTTATATAAACACTTTATATCATACACTTTAACTTCATTTTACCTTGAAAGAAAATTGTTGTAATAACACTCTCTCAAACATAGATTATAACCAATAAAACAGACATCCACAAAAGATCAAGAACACCACACTTTTACCATGGTTCACCTTTCCAAGATTGGGAAGGCTACGTCCACGTTGAGCTTCGGAAACAAACGAAGCTCACTGCACTAATTTGTTAATCAGTTTATAGATTACAGATACAAGATCGAAAGATCCAAGAAAACCGGAAATCACCGTATCTGATAACTATCAGCCTAGGAAACTAACACTCAGAATCCCAGCCCACCGAGAGACAAAAAACCCTCAATCAGAATGACAAACCCAATCACTCAACCAGTTACACAGAATCAAGATTTCAGAACAAAGGATAAACCCTAGTAGAGCAAACCTAACACAGTATCAATCAAATAGAATGCGCCAGACTGAAGAGAAAAAATTGCTTATATATCGTTGACCAGGATGGACTGAACTCAGCCGTTGGATCTCTTGAAAACTGATGGTCCAGATTCATTCTTGAAACGATAGCGTATTGGTTTAAGTAACACGGCACCGTTTCAGTCTTCACACTTACAAAAATTTTAGTCAAAAATTGCTTCGAAAGTAATTGTGCATAGATTCCCGCTAATACGTATCACGTAGAATTTTTTTACTACATCAAAGGAGAATAAGAGAGTCTTCTTCATTGACATCCTCTTCTTTTCTCAACATACTATTGCTCCTTTATACTTTCTAGACCACCTAAAAAAATTTATTTTTCAGTTTCCATTGTTATAATATACTTTTCAAGGTTTAGTTCCTTCTAAAAAAATGTTGGGTTCACAATATATAAAAGCTTCTAGGAGCTTGAAATATCTTTACTTTTTTCTTTTTAAAATTTGTACCAACTTTTCTAATGATAGAAGATTGCTAAAATACAAAATTTCAATCAAATTTCTTGCTCTATATGTAACTAAGCACAAAATTTTGCTTTTAGCAATTTTCTAATGTGTGAAAACTTGATCAGATATAAGAAAATTAGGCCGTATGAGGATAAGGACTATATATCAGTTTCAGCCCCTAAAAATTCAATATTCTTTGGCTACCCTCATTCGTTAAATTTGATACTTTAACCCCTAAAAATGTAACTTTTTAAATTCATTCTCAAACACCTCTCACTCGTCGAACACTATGCCTTAGTCCCCCCCAAAATCAATTTTCTAGCTCTATCCCCATATATACATCTAAACACGCATTAAGAAAGATTAAATAATGTAGTTACCATAAGTCTTAATAAATCTAAAGAAATTAAGAGCCAAAGGTAGTGTTTGATCAAAAAAGAAACCTCTCCACCAAACAAAGAGAGAATAATAGTGTAAATTATGGTTTGAAAAGAAGGTGTGTTTCGTTTGCTATTAAAGTTTCATGCGCATAAGGGTAGGTTTCCAGGAGACAAGAGGGCTTAAATTATATGGAATTCATAACCACCGAGATTGAAACTGCTATTGTTTTGTGCTTTTTATTCATTTGCAGACAGTTTTTGACTCTTGCGACACCTTCAGCCTTTCATAAATTGTAAAAGCAAAACTTATTTATTACAGTGTTTGATCCCTCAAAGTTTGAATTCCCCTTTAGCTTGTCGTGAAAAGTTGGGTCGGCCACTATAAAAGTAGGTAAGTCTACGATTGAGATACTAATAATAAAAATGTTCTTTGTTAAAATATGAATAGATTTTGGTTTATTGACTTTCCTTGTAAATGAGATTTCAGGCAAATAAATTTGATATTCCCATCTTTGTATCCCAAGATGTGTCAGTTGATTTAACAAGTTAATTCATTTATCCCATTATCCTAATATTATGAAAACGTTGCCAGATAATTGTTACACAGTTTGAGATACAAATTTGGGATCCCAAATTTATATAAGTATAATTATTGTTCATAAAAACGAATTTGACGGTAGAAATGCATTAGAAAAAATAAAAAAATTCATTATTGAAATTTTATGGTTTAGGTGTCTTGATACCAAGATTAGGTATCCGTCACTCTTGAGAATTTTCGTGTGTGTATATATATGAGTTTTTTAGAAACAAACTAATTAACAAACATTTGAATGAGAACTACATTTAAATTACCATTATTGTTTTAGGGACAAGGGGGACGAGGTTTCCTTTTCTCTTACAAAAAGAACTGAGTACTTGATGAGGTTAGGGCATGAATTATTGAATTAATAATTCAAAGGGAAACATGATGGGTAGTTTCTCTTTGTGTTTCACGTGCAAAGGTTCAAGTTTCAACATAAATTCACCCATGCAATTAAACTGAAGCCAAGACTATAAACTTTATATATAAATATGGTTGCTGACCCGTAATCTGCCGAACAATGACTTGAGTTGAGCAACCAAAAGGACTTAAATTATTTCAATGCTTCATTAGCTGCCATTTTATTTTATTTTTTCTGTTTTTCACATTGCAAGTAAAAGAATTTGAAATCCTAATCCTTAGCTTTCACAATGGTTAGTTGAGCTGCATTTTCATGCCTTCTAATCCATCATATCTTATATATAATTTAGTCAAACTGTAAACATTTCCGGATTTCTAGGTCTACCCAGCTTGCACCATCATATGTTTTATTAAAGTCTTTGAATTTAATTTCAATAATTTAACACTCCCTAGAACTCTTCTTTGTGGACAAACCGATAAAGAACGTGATGCAGATAGACTTGCTTTAGATTTTAACTCAAATGGGATCGCTAGATTATAGTTATTGACGTTCAATATTTGATATTTTTCTTTGTATTCTTTTATCTCGCGCTCTACATCAGAATGCTATAAAGTTAACAAACTCAAGAATAATGAATGCATGGTACACTAAGCTTATGATTTTGAACGAATCGGTCAATTGATCATCGACAAGAGAGATAATTAAGCTTTGTTGCCTTTTGTTGATTTGATGATCAGAAAATAATATTAATGGTCGAAGAAATTGGTCAATGT